AGGAGGCACCCAACTCTCAACTCCTGGATAGGGCTGTGGCTGTGTTGGTTGCAAGGGTCTTTAGATTGCCTTTATTCGGGTGTTATGAAAAGTTTGAAGAGCTCTTGCCAGCTCTCCTGAAGCTCTGCATAGCTTTAAATTTTGGCTCCCTGGGTGGCATGGAGAAGTCCTGGTGACACAGATACATTTTCAGTGATGGATAAACCATCTCTCTGTTTATATGGGTATGTCCTGGCCTATGCTTTACACTTAGATGTATGTGGCAGCAGCGGCACAGTGGGGAAATCTCATAGGAAAACCCCACAAAGCAGCTGCCTAAGAGAAGTTGTCTCAAGTACTTCAGCTCTGGATTGCAGATGATTTTGTCATTCCTTTAGAATTCAAATGATTTTCTTTTAGCAGTTTAAAGTCCAGGAAAGATTTAGTGTAGGCTTATATTTCAGAAGAGAAGTGGGCAAAACATGCAAGGAAGAGAGATGTGCACATGCATTAGAGATGTGTGCATATATTAAATAGATGTCTATGTATATCCTTAACAGCCCATCTCACCCATTGCATTAGCATCTCATCCAAAAAAGGTTGAGAGAGGAGGCTGCTGGTAGTCGAAAGTGCTTAAAAAAAAACTTTAATTACAAGCTATTCTCTTACAATTTTCCATTGATATCTTGGCAATTATTTCAAGAGACATATTTCTCCCATTTAAGTACATGCTATGTGTGAGTGATGCTATTTGTAAAAGCAATAAATCCAGTCGTAGTAATAAAATGTAATTAGAGTATTCTTCTGTGACAGAATGGATTTGGGGTAGGTACGTTAAACTCATTTGTAATAAATAGGCACAGAAGTTGTACAGCTACAGCGCTGACATGATAAAGTTTGCAAATGCAGGTAAATTTCTCCTCCCTCACGGGGGATTAACTTTTTCCAATCTTATTATGAAAAGTTCAGGAGTCACTGAATAACATGCAAAACTGAAGGGAATAGAAACGGTTTTCTAGGCAGAAGGAAGGGAAACAAGTGTTTGTCGGCTGCCTGTCATCATCCATTAGTAGTAAATTGTCAGCAAAAAGGGGAGATGCATCCTTTTTCATTTATCTTTATACAGAAGCATAATTTAGTGACTCATACCCATGACCATGCTCATGTTCCCTGTTGTTCCATATTCTTCTTTGGAAACTTTCTCTTAAAACCTAGTGCTGATTAGTGCTGGGCAGAAAAACTTTCTCCCTGTAAAGAGCAGCTAGCAATCTTCTTGCCAGTTGTGGTTTGAAAAGGGCCATTTTTATGGCCAGTGTTATTTGGAAATACAGAAACAATAAGGAGACTTTGCTGACACTGCAGTCTTCATTATACTCTGAGCTGCTCCTCATCTATTTGCTGATCCCAGACAATCCCCTTGTGTAGCTGGGTGAAAGTGTTTGCATCTTATCTGAAGTTGATAAATATCTGGGTGCCCCTGCAGGATGCTGGCATTTAGTTCATGCTGCTTCCCACTTTTCCCCATGTAGATGAGGAATAGAGGCAATTTTTTTTCAAAAGCCTCTGTGAACACATTTTCTAGCAGCTACAGCCTACAGAAGTTGCAGGGCCCCGGCTGCTGCACCATTTACTTTTCACTGGGATAGCATGGATGTGTGAGAGAGGTATTTATAAAAGGTTCAGAGCAACTAAAGGATGTATTGAAACCATTTTGTTATACCAGTATTTAAGAGAAATGCAAACAATGAACTCAGTCTTGCCAATTAACGTAAGAGGGATTTGCCCCACGGATTCTACGGGAAGCAAGTTCTGACCTGATGCTTTCTTATTGCCAGGGATACCAGGTACTACTGATGCAGCTGCAAGCCTAAGCTTTAACAGCATGAAAGTAGACATGGGCCAAATCCTGAAAATCTTTCCTAATACAAGTATTCTCTTGGACTATTTACACACACAATAACAAGTAATGAAAGTGAGGCTTTGTAGCCTGCTTTAGATGCCTGGGGAAATCATCATCATCATCATCATCATCATCATCATACAAACCCTTCAAACCCCTGCAACTTGAAACCCAGCGAGTCCTTTTTTTAGTTTGAAAACTCATCCTTGTGGAAAGCACTAAATCCCCTCGCATGCAATTAATAGTTCCAAAAGATGGAGAAAACTGAACCTGAGTGAAAAGGTCATTTTAAACAGGTGTTTTGAAATGACTGGACATGCTATGCAGTGCAAGTACTGATGTAGTTTAAATAATTGAGAGTGGTATTTTGAACTATTTTCTGAGCCAGACAAATAACCTGCCACTTCATGAATGGAAACCAGTGACGGCCATAAATAATGCACAGGTGGCAGGTTGGTATGATAGTCATTTTTAAGCCTATCTGATATTTCTTCCCATACAATACAATCTGTCCAATGGCTTCATGTGGGCCCCCTGCTGGATACCTTATTCTTCTACTGTGACTCTTGTGTTCAGATGAGCAAATACTCTGGTGCATTAGCTTTCATTTCTTTATCCTATATAGGGAATAGGGTAGGGCGAAAATATGTATTTACAAATTGGGTCAGTCCTTCCTTTGCTCTTTTGCAGAACAATTTGTGCCCAGGGATAGGCACATGCATTTGTTTGTTTTAATAATAACTTCAGGATGTAAAGAGCTGCTTTGTGCTAATGCTCAGAACATAACTGCTGCCTACAAGCTAAGGCAAAGTTATGCTGATTAGCGCAAAAGCTACGCTCAGCATCGCCTGTAAATCAATGGAGGAAGTCATGGGCATGGCAAAAAGCTAACTCAGCACAGCGACACAGATGGATTGAGAGACCAACATCGGCAGGGGCAGCAGAGAGAAAGGCATTAAAAATAAGGCCCTCTCTCCTTTTTGCATGCTATGGCCAAGGGAGGTCAGGAAGCTACTCAAGACTCAGCATGAAGGTAGAGGGTGAGACAAGGGAAAGGGTATTGCAAGAGTGGGGGGGTTATCAAGGGAAGAGTGAGGAAGTTTGAAGCCTGGGCCACATCTGGGCTATGGGGATACTGCAGCACACTCAGATTAAAAATTTGTGAAGAGGCTTTATAGAGTGACAGTATACATTTCAGCATCAGTTTCCTATGCAGCAGTAATTAAAACTAGCACTATATTACAAACAGCAGTATACAACAAACCCTATCTATTCAGAAGAAGAAGAATCCTGGTTAAATCACCTTCTGCATTTGGCAGGTATGTTAGGCATTCAGTTATCATGGTAATTGGCTCTGGAATACATTACTAGTTAGAGTAAGGTAGAGAGATATGCAAGCAGTATGCACATTAGGAAAATGTAGATGTGAGTTCCCATTCACTTCCAATATGATTGAAAAGTTTATTTCCAACAGCTCATTGCCTGATAGAAAATAAATAGGCTAGGACAAAATAATAATGCAGTGGGCTAAGAAAATCCCTAATATTACTTTATTGGTTAAAGTGCTCAGAATAGAGGAGCAGGAGCTGAAGTATAGTAATTAATAAGAGAATAGTAAATATTCTGATGGGTGAAATGAGTACTATCAGCTATCATGTACTTCAGTATGACAGGTTTGATTTATATCACAGTTTGGCTCTGTGAAGTATTTACTCTTATTGCTATTCATGGAATTATCCCCCTCTCAGTCAATTAGAGAACATTGAAAAATGTAGACACGTGCAACCGGAATCAAATGTTAGGGTGAGCAAGCAGAAATGACTGAGAGAAAAATCAGTACTGACATCAATGCAGTGCAATTACAACAGGACTGCAAATCTTAGATGCAACTAAAAGCCTTTAGTGGGGGTTTCTGATCTATTTGAAGGAGCTGGCAGTCTTCACCCAAACAGTGCAAGAGCTGGGAACCAGCACAGGTGCTACAGTTAAGACAGAGCAGCTTAGCTAATCACCTACAGGAACTGCCACTTAGCAGATTTGAGAAAGTATATTCAGCAGTCTACATCATGGCTGTCTAGTCCAGGACAGAATTTATGTTCCCCTACTCAGTGACATGGCACCGCAGGCTGTGATGCTCATTCTGGGTGTTAGAAAGCTATTGGTTTTAATCTGTGTCCAGCAGCCTAAATAAATGTGTGCCAGATTTCTTACAGGGGAGCTCTCCCTCATCTATATTCTACTGCAATATGGCAGAGGCTTCCACTTCCTGCAGTCCACAGACATTACTGCATTGTTTGGGGTACTCCTGAGATAACGGATACCCTCAGAAATAGCTCCTAGAAATAGGAAACCCATTACTAATACTAAACAGTCTAATATAGTTTAGGTCTAAAAGAAAATGAATCGCATAACGCGCTGAACTGGTATAATAAATAGACTTCATAGCCCTAAACAAGTTCAGCACCTACTGCTGTATTACAGCATAAGTGGTCTTAGGTAAGATGGAGAAAAACCTATTGCAAGGTAAGTCAGTGCTTTTATAACCTGAAAGTGGCCACCCCCTGTACTGAAGGGTCGTGTTAACCCCTTCATTGCCTTTCAGCACACTTTTTTTCTATCAGGATCATTGGACCCATAAACAAGCATGTGGTGAGATTTAAGCTGGAGTGCACATCATCCCTTCCTTCATTTTCACCTCTCACGTGATGCCTGGCAAAGTATGGTGCTGAGGGAATAAGGGCCAGGAGATCCCATCTTAGGAAATCTCAAATGCATTCAAACTGTGAATTAGATGATCCTACCTACTGCAGGGCTGGGGAAAAAAAGACGACCTCTTATGAAAGGGGAACAGTTGTTGTAGTATTTGTGATGGGCTTGCCTTTTTGATACTTTTATTTTTACTCTCTTCTTTCTCTATAGTGATGTCAAACCCAAAGGTACTGAAGGAGTGCTCATCTTTAGGTCTGTAGGGTGAACTGGTCTTCACAGGGAGGGGACAATTGCTTGCCCTGTGCCAACAATTAACAGCTTCCCCAGGTGAGAGGACTGAATGATTCAAAGGCATCATGTGATTCAAATGAACCAAGTCTGCTGTGTGAAAAAAAGGCAATCTGGGCTGAGCCAGCGAGAGCAGTTTGTGTGAGGAAAGACAGCTAATGTCTTCTATGCTGTTTGAACGCTGTAAGGAAAAGCCTCTTGCAGGATGAGAGTTTAGTAAGGTTGTTTCTAAGCCCTTGCATCTCAAAGCTCTGAGCCTTGAGGGAGGATTATGAGCAAGAAGAAGTTATGGTAAGGACTATTAAGTGTTGTATTTGTCCAAGTATGGCTAGAAACAAAAGTGACCCAGCCACAGGAGTGGGTACCAGTGCTGCCTTCCTGACTAGCATTGGATATATCTTGAACATAAAAAAAAAAAAAAAAAAAAAAAAAAAAA